CGAGAGGATGAATATTGTCTACGTAGCGGACATATTTAGGTTTAGAGACCTGTTTAAATATCATATTTTCTACATGGGACATATAATATTTTGAAAAACATGGGCCAAGGGGATTCCCCATACTGAACACCATTAGTCTGGGTGTAAATGTCACTATTATGGTCATAGAATGGAACTTTGGTTGTGCACGCGTGTGGTAATTTTTTGAGTATAAATGGTTTGATGGCTGGCAGAGGGATAGAATTATTAGTATACACAGAATTGATGATAATGTAAATGGTTTGATTGACATTTGTAAATAGGTTTTCGACGTCAAGTGATCCTATGATACATTGGTTTGTTTTAGTAGTTTTTAAAATTTGGAGGAATTCGTTAGTGGATGTGATTTTGTAATTGGTGGATAGGTATGGAGTGATGATGTCATTCAGGAATTTTGATAGCTTGTAGATAGGTGCTGTATCTTTGCAAATAACACTAAAGAAATAGATACACTTACGACCATATTTGAGAAAAACTAAATTTAACTATGAAATTAGTAAAAGCAAAAACAAACTCCCATTCTTATATGTTCTCGTAGAAGATAGTAATAACACTTTTATCACATCATTATATAAAAAACCCATAAGCAGAAATTCTTGCCACTTTAACTTTAAAAGAGAATGCCCACTCAGATACAAAATAGCAGTAATAAAAAACTTTATAAAAAGAGCACACCAGAATTCATCCTCTCGACTACTCTTCCTTAAAGAACTCAATAATGTAAAACAGACATTAATTAACAATGGCTTCTCTAACCACCTTATAGAGCACCAAATTAGACTATTTCTCCCCAAAATAAATAACAATGTTAGTGAACATACAGTCAAAAAATTCATGAATGTTTTTCTACAAAAACCAAATGCACATTAACTACAAACAAGATGAATCTTCACTTAGAAAAATTATAAAGACATTCACTACCCCAATCGACCCGAATAAAAAAATCCAATTAATTATCTACAATAAAGAATATAAGCCTGCTAATCTTATCCTCAAAAACAACAACACACCAGCTAAGTCGAAATTACAACGAACGAACATTATCTATGAGTTCAAATGCCCTATGTTCCTGATCAAACCGAACTCATAATTAATTACATTGGTCACACAACTACATGCCTATCTAGACGCCTTACCTTACACCTATCTGACCAGAGCTCCATTAGAACCCATTTAAACACACACAAACCTACCAGACTCCATTTGAAACATACTAGTAGAAAACACAAACATAATAACCTGATCCACTTGTAAAAACAGATTAAAAATAATGGAAGCCCTAATAATAAAAAAGAAAAAAAGCCAACTCTTAACAATATTAACTACGAACTAGGCCACAATGTGCTGACCGTATTCGGAAAATAAAACATCTCTATAACACACTAAAAGCATACACATAACACACACACACTCGTTTAAACTGAAAAATAAAATCATCCTTGATAATGGCTAAAAGTATAACCGAAAGCGATCGGAACTATAGAATATTTGGACAGTTTCTACAGAGTATGTATTCAAAAAAGAAAACTCTTGTGCGAACAAAGAAAAATTAAATAAAAAGCTTAACCGTAGTACCTTGTCTGTCGTTTTTAATGAAACATGCATAAAGGAAGGATTGCTGCCTAAATGCACAATATATATATATATATATATATATATATATATATATATATATATATATATATATATAGCTTATACACACCAAGGCGATAATGTCATTAAGATGCATGGAGTTACTGGAAACAAAGATTAAACTTCTACTGCTGTTCAAAAGACCGGAGAGGAGTGTGAACCGGACGAGTGTGTGTGTGTGTGTGTGTGTGTGTGTGTGTGTGTGTGTGTGTGTGTGTGTGTGTGTGTGTGTTACACCAGTTGGCTAAAATAACTGAACTAAGTTCATTTAATTTACCCGAACTAATATTTGAAGGCTATCGACCATTTTCCCTCATCTTCCTAACCCTTGAGAAGTAAAAAGGGAAAAAATGTAGAATTAATACTGCATCGATGAACACGCTTATTATCCGCAGAATTCATTGATCTCTCTATCTGAGAATGGAATCGATCAATGCGGTTATCAACGGCAACATTTTAGGATCAATAAGCCTCTAAACTGCGTTATGAATCTTTTGTTATGTTTATATTTTTGATTACTTATTTTGTTCATATAACATTTTACTGATCCTACTTTAGATTTCAATTAATACATTTTTATATTTTCTGATATAATATAGAGCACTTATTTAACCACATCTTTTTATATCACAGACCACGACAAAATATATAACATAATAACACATATATCCAAGCCCAGACATGTAATAATATATAAAAAACATTGCATAGAGTAATAATACACTAATGTAATTTAGCAATCCTATATTTTTGTATTATCATCTAATGTATCGAGTATATTGAGTAGAATCTAATAGATTAAGTTAGGCCTATGCGTGACTGAGTGGTTAGAACGTTAATATTCCGACCATGGGATACGGGTTCGAATCTCATCATATCATGGTCGATTTCTTAAGGAGGTGACTTCTATCACGATATCGACCCGGTGAGACGATTCTATTGTGCGGTACCGTTGGGAAGTCCTTGATATCAATACCTCACGGGTTGAATCAAGCCTTTTCAGTGAAATTGTTTGGTAGCTGACGATGGTTACGATAGCACGAAATCATAAATCTTCGTGACCGAAGGTTTGAGCGTTCTAGTCATGTTTAACTAAAATAGTAACTCTGTAAGGTCTGCTCGGCATAATATTAGTATAAACCACGGACTGGCTCCGTGGATGTTGAAGAAACAGAAACGTGTCCGAGGAGGCGTCTGCAACAGTGATTAGATAGCCACCCTAGCAAACTCCATAGACTCCATATATATATATATATATATATATATATATATAAATAGAGAGAGAGAGAGAGAGAGAAGGAGGGAGGGAGGGAGAATATCCACTTTTATATTTACACAACCTCGTATATCCCTGATATTTAGAACTTTTATCCATAAATATAGCATACCTTAAAATATATATATATATATATGAATAAATAAGGAACAAGTAGAAAAATCTTTATAAATTTAACAGGTTTCTCTATTTAGCTTCATCACAATTTTTCCTTTTTTCGTGGAACAATTTGGATTTTTAGATTTCGATGAATCACTTAAAAATCTCTCGCTGCTAAATAAATAGCAAAACATGTGAAACTTATGACGATTTTCCTATTTGTTCCCTATTTAATCATTTGTTTGGATTTTAATTCCCTATTTTTAATACATATATACAATGACCGAATTGTTATCGTAGTCGAAATGTTTAGGTATATCCATTCTCAAGTCAATAACAAAACTTTTGAATAGTTCAGAAAAGATAATTGTTTTTTTATTAAGGTGTTTAATTCTAGAAATGTGAATTTTTAAATTTTGTGCTAAAACTATGACAGTGACATCACGTATCACTGTTAATTCTTTTATAAAGATATATTTAATATATGTCAGAATCCTAAATCAATAATTGTAACAGAATAAAATATTCAAGCAATTTTTGTATAAAAGGTGGAACTTTTCTTTCCTCACATTTTCATTTCAAAGAGAACAATTCACTGATTCAATTCATTCCTATTATAATACATTAAAAAAAGAGAGATTTTATGAAATTTTCATTTTGGTCAAATTCCAGTCGTTATAATGCCAAGTATATTACGGCGGGTGATTTCTAAAAGATATCCTTTGAAAGAACCAGGTAGTTTCCTTTAGTTCATCTTATAGTTGAACTAACATGGACCCAAATCATACTTATTATAAAACCCAGGTTGTGTGTGTGTGTCTGTTCGTTTATATATTGGATCGGATTTCCTACATTTTTCAACCGATTTCAACAAAACTTCACAGGACTACATAAAATTACCTTGCGGTGGTTCTGACAGCACCCAAAATTGTAAAAACACAATTGTTTCTGCACAAAATAAATTTTGAAAATACGATTAAAAAGCAGCGCTGTCGCGAGAATGAAAAGGGGACAACTCATATACTTATAAAACCCAGGTTGTTTTTTTGTGTGTATGTATGTGTGTGTGTGTGTGTGTTCGTTTTTGTTTATATATGGGATCGGATTTCCTACATTTTTCAACCGATTTCAACAAAACTTCACTTTTTTTTGGCAGGTAGCGTTTCTTATTGTCTTGCACACTTTTTTCTTCATTTTTACATTCAGAATGCTTTAAAATTCCATTTACAAGACAATTGTTTATAATAAAATTCTATTCAATCAGTAGACTCATAACGATTAAAAACAATGTTTTTGTTTGAGTTTGGGTTTGACCAATTCGTAAAAAAAAAAAAAAAAAAAAACAAAACTAATTAATGTGTGTCCGTCAACCTTAAACAATAATCTTTGTCAATTTTATATTTCAGTCTTTATGATGGTCGATACTTGATCTATCTCTTACTGTTATATCCCCGGGCAACGCCGGGCTCTACTGCTAGTTAGCGAATAAAGTTAGCATCCTGGCGACAAATAATGCTTGACATCTAGATCGTACCTGGCACAAAATTGTATCTGCTAGACATTTAGCTATATTTCGCTCCACCGCCTGTCGTACAACGGACTCAGACAATACGGGCACATTTACAAAAAGAGTCGCTGCAGATAGTGTCCCATATAAGATATTAGCCACCTGCCAAAAGAAAATCTCTGATGTCTTTGAGGTGCCTAGGGTCTTCTAGGTTGAGACTCTCAGATTCTATCAAGAATGGAATACCAGCAGAATATAAAGCTCTCTTGATTATGTCGCAGAGGGAGGTGTGCTGCAGACAAATGGTCAATGCTGAGATGGCTTGAAAATAGATAAATGGCGAACGAATTGTCAATGGTGACCCAGGAGATGAAGCGATGGGGTTCCTACTAAGACTAACGAGGATACTGATGCGGACACTGTTGCTGCCAATGGCTTATATTCACTCGTTGAAACACCAGTTCCCATACGATCACCGAAGTTAAACAACGGCGACCCTGTTCAGTGCCTGGATGGGTGACCAGGTGGTGACTAGGTGCTGTCAGCTTAGTTTGTTTTACGGCATATCAATTTCAACGGGTTATTTAATGCCGACAAGATTTTTAGGATATGTTCATATGAATAAAATATGTATTCTTTGTAAGAAATCTGTTTGTAGATCAGGTTTCATTGAGGTATTTTTGTGAAGTGAGATTATTCGAGAGTTAAATCTATTGTTGGTAATATATATATATATATATTTGTCAAAAATGTATCGCTGGTATATAAAAATCTATTTTTATACTTTCATAAAGTTTTGACCCCGGTTTGAGTGTTAACGATTTGCCCATAGCTGGTACCCTAACAGGTGCTACCACCCCGGGTCAGGGTGAACCTGGGAACATTAGCAATTAAGATGTGGTTCCACGCTCTTCAAAACCTCTCGATCATCAGAGGCCTAGCTGCCAGATGTAGTTTATCTTGGATGTACGAATGGTGTAAAGAATAACGAATCGGAATTTTGTTCATTCGAAAAGTCCAGTGTTCCCTTTTCCAGCTTGGTTAGTTATATTTAATTCTGTGCAAATACCTTTAGGAAAAGGTATTAATCCACATCTTCTCCCACAGCTATGGGTTAATTAGTATAACTTGTATCATTAAGCGATTAATATCTAAAAATAAAAAAAGTGTAGCAAAATATTTAGATTTCGGCATTAAATATCCCATAGAAATTGATATGCGGCTAAATAAAAACAAACATACAAATACAACATGTAGCTGTCTAAGAAAACCTCCTGAAGTGTTTCTCTTGTGTCTAATATGTCGTTTGATCTTGCGTGAAAACTTTGAAACTATATTTATTATATATATATATATATATATATATATATATATATATATATATATATATATATATATATATGTTAATATATTTATTGTTTATACAATATTTTTATAGATACAAATATTTAAATAAAAGCTATGTATCTATAAAATAATGTACAAACAATAAATATATTAAAATAATTGTCGCACTTAGTTTGGTTTAGCCTCTGAGTGTTGACTTCAATGTCCAATTTTATATTTACATACGCTCTATCTCTGGTATTGACCACTTTATCCCATAAATATAACATACCTTAAAACTATATTTCATCATATATATATATATATATATATATATATATATATATATATATATATATATATATATATATGACAAAGTATATATTAATAATTAGATCACTGTGCCATTCAGCAGGTACTGAAAGTTAACACTCAGTATCTGATGAATGGGAAAATCAATGAAACTCTTAGTCGTACTGCAAACGTAGGTATGTGTGTAATTATTAATATATACTTTATAACAACATTGAGCACTTTTTGTCTACATCAAAAATTAAATAAATATTTATTTGCTCATCTGTATGTGTACGCAAACGCACGCTTATATGGTTGCTCATATCTCTTTATTTAGCTCATTTTCACATTTATATTTATATTTTAATGTATGTTATATTTGTGGGTTAAAGTGTCTAGTAACAGGAATAGAATGTATGTAAATACAAAAGTGAACATTGAAGTCAACACCCATAAGCGACAATCTGTTTTCATTGTAAACACAATCAACAACCCGTGACGATTGCGTTTAACATGGAACAGATTTCAATGTGCACGCACACACGCACACACACACACACACACACACACACACATATATATATATATATATATATATATATATATATATATATGTTAAGTGATTTCTATATACAAATTTCCATATTTTTATCAAACATTATTTTTATAAACGTCATTTTTAGTGAGTATACGTGTTTGAGTTGTTACCCCTGTTTTGTTTTTTTTTCTTAAACATTGAAATTTTTGTCTCCGACAGGAATTAAACCTGTACCCTTTTTCCCATCAGGAAAACCCATTTTTAGGCAAAGTGGGCCATAATTGTTAAGACACTCATTGGCTAAAAACTGGTTTCCTTGATAGAAAAAAGGACACAGTTTGCTGTAACCTAGAAAGGGTTACTAAATGAGGAATAACCAAAACGGAGGTTGGAAATGAAATGTTAATCTTTATACCATCAACAAAATATAATACTCGCCAGTGGCATGAAGTAGGTAATCCACTGCTAGTGGTAGACTACTTAGACAGCATATTACGCCCACTTACAATAGTGTCCAACGTATTTATGGGGATTGGCTCATACCCATTAGTGTTCATAGGTACATTGTATAACACAGTTTTATGTGTGTGTGTCTGTTTGTCTCAGTAGTGTTCATAGGTACAGTGTATAACACAGTTTTATGTGTGTGTGTCTGTTTGTCTCTGTAGTGTTCATAAGTACAGTGTATAACACAGTTTTATGTGTGTGTATCTGTTTGTCTCTCTGTATGTGTATATGTGTGCGTGAATTTTTTCAGATATAACTAAAAATACATCTGTAAATGAACAATGTGAATAAAGACAAAATTATCCGATTCTTTTTCATCCACTAATCGACCTTATCGGGGCAAATGTAAGGATTTTATTTTGCTACAAGTATTTATAAAGAAAAATAGAAATGTCATTGGTTTTTCAAAGTGTTTCAATTTAAAAACGCTCATAAAGATACATCAAGTTAACTGAGAAGTTTAGGAAAATTATGGCGGATGCTAAATAATGCGATTTAATCTCTAATAAACAAAAGTGAGTAAATGTTGTTAAATTATTTTTTATAATGTAATTAATATTTTTACATTATTTTATTTTTGGATTAATATATGTATTATATTTTTTAATTAATAAAGTTAAAGAATGCCAGGTCTATTAAAAGAGAAAGTAACTTAGATGGTTAAATTCTTGAGAGTTCCGCTACCGAATCTTACCAAAATATAAATCTACACCCCGGATTTTTACAAATATATCCGATCCTGAAATAAATACTCTTATCCCAAGCCAAAATACATGTCTATAAAAATGTTAGAAAAATTATAAGAAAACGGTTAAATTCAAAACCTATTATTTAAAATATATAATACATAAATTAATCATAAACTTAAATAAAATAATATAAAAATATTAATTAAATTATAAAAAAAATCAACTGCATTTACTCACTTTTCTTTATTAAGGATTAAATTACATCACTTACTATCTTCCATAATTTACCTAGATTTTTCAGTTAGCCTGATGTATATTCTGTAGCTCATAAACGTTTTCTAAATTTATGATAAAATTGTTTCCATAGTTATATATTTATGTATAAAATGGTAAACAATAAATATTCACATATTTTCATAAATTTGTAAATATAAAATTTATCTTGTAAATAAATAATCTGACAACTAAATAGCTTGTAACAGTTTTTGTCGTTATTAAAATTCTAAACATAGTTTTTTAAAAAAAATAAATATTGCCGAGGGAGTTGAGGGAATATACAGTAATAGTGGTGTCAAGAGGAAAAACTGCCCTTTTGACACCGTTTAACGTACGTTAAACTCTGCCAAAAAGACCTTGTGTATGTATCCGGATTTAGTGGGAAGGTCGGGTAAAAAATCCCAAATGTGTGACATAGACCTACTCATCTTTATGTAGTGGACTTTTCTGATGACGTATTACATTTTCTGTTATTTTAAACTAGATAAATATGTTATAATTTAAATTAGTTTAGTTCATATGTTATTTTCCGCTCACAGGTAATTGAGAAGTTACTATTACTCACTGGTCAAATTGGTGTTGGAATAAAAAGAAAATATTTAATTTAACTGGATTTAAACAATTTTTAGGTAATTACTTAGAACAAAAAGAAAATCACATTTTACATTTGGTTGCAATAAAGACACTGCTGATTTCAGTCCAGTTTTAAAACAAAATAATTCATTGTAATAATAATTTCGTTGTCGATTCAAAAAATAACGTAAATACCTTCAAATGATAAAAAAGGAATACTAAGAAACAACATATTTTGAGTTCTTTTTCAAAGTTTATTTTCAATATTAAACCGTTTTGAAGTTAGCGTGTGAGTTTATATGTAATTTATGCGTTATGGTGTTTTACACGAGTGAACATTCGAATCTGTCTCAAAATCAGATTTTGATGCGAGAAAACTGTATTTTGTCTTTGTTTAAAGTTTAACATCCATATTTTTATTTTGCACAAACTCCATAGCAAAATCCCCCATCTCTACAACAAATACAGCCTGCTTGACTATCGATTTTAAACACTGATTGCTAAAGGGTCGTAGCCTGTTGCTGTTTACTTTTTATGGGGGTGGGTCCCAGGGGCGCTAGGTACGTGTTAGCGTCTGGCACGAGAAAAGACTGTTTTCTTTTTCTGCTTCTTCATATTTTTGTTCGGTCTGAAATAGCGATTTAATGAGCTCATTCAAAAATCGCAATAAGTAGAGCGCAAGTCTCGATGCAGCATTACATGAAACGGCCCTTTTCAAAGAGTTGCATGAGAACGTTAAAACTTCTTTAATATTCACCCACCTCTTCCATACTACGAGCAAGAAGAAAAAAATATAAGCAGACAGAAAAAAAAGATACAGCGTATCGAAATATGCATCATTCGAAAAGATTCCTCACTTTTTTGTCGGACTTTTACGTTTTCTATCCGAAGTTTTTATTTATTTTTATTTATTTATTTTATTTCATTTTATTTTATTTATTTATTTTTTTGTGCAACAATTTTTTAGATTTCATCGAACGTTCAGAACTCTTTTCTTCTGCTACAAAAATCAACAGCGTAAGGAGACATGAGTAAAAGCGGTTCTAGTGTAGTTGTGCGTTGTGTACGCTGGAAGGTTCTGGGACATGAATAAACCGAAAACAAAATTGGGCAGAAAAGTATCATTTTCAAAGAAGAAAATGGATCTGTCAAATATTACATGTGACTTTTCTATATGATTATTTTCTTTAAAATACTGAATACCTTTTCAAATGTGTGAGTCTCATTTCACACAACTATTACAGCTAACCACACCTTACAAAACTATAACGAGGTGGCCCGCAAATTAAAAATGAGTTAAATTTTTAAAGTTTTTTGTTCTCTTCTTCCATAAAATAAATCT